CTCTTCACAAACCCACCTGATTGCGTGGAGTTTCCACTCTGGGCAGTCAACCCTTTCCTAACGCTGACACCAAAAGGGTTCGACGGGGCTGCGGACTTTTCAGCAGGGGCTGCACCGCCGCTGCCGCCGCCAAAGCTGAAAGGGTTCGACGGGGCTGCGGGCACAGCGCCAGAACCAACGCCGGGAGCGGGCTTGGTCAACGAGGTTGCAGCGCCAAAGGAAAACGGCTTGGAGGCAGCAGGTGCGGTGGATGTGGACTTCTTGGCCTCCTCCTCGTCACTCCCAGCATTCGGAGCAAATCCGTCATCCTCGGGAATCACGGCAGGCGGGCCGCTCCTCACGAAGGTCGTAGCAGACGTAGTGCAGCTTTTTGTAGGAAATTGAGGTAAACCAGAGGGTTTTGTCTCAGTGGTGTCTTTATCTATTGCACTATTGCATTTTTTATTCCCCATTTGTTGGGTAACGTAATTTTCTGTACCCATCCTTCTTGCCGTCATCTCACCAGAGTAGCTCGTGTTGAGAGAGGTCCTGTAGCTTATATTTGAAGCGGGAAAAGTATTACCGCTATCATTGATGGTCGGATGGGCAGATGCAGCGGCAATCCTTTCCGTATGCGTTATGTGTCCAGGCGGATTCGCGCCTCCTTCTCTTTCACGCTCACGCTTCAATGCGAGGGGGCGACGAGCCAAAGTGCTGGTTCGGTTCAGCGCGGGCAATGATTGCGTGGTGAATTCCGGTTGCAGTGTCTGGATTGGTGCGACTGGCAGAGCCGCGGGGACACCACTGTTCATATAATAAAAGTTATAAATAATCTGCGGCTTGGATTCCACTGATGGTGACAAGGATTGCGATGGCAGTGGCAAGCGTGGTGCATCAGGAAAGGTGGTTTCATGGAGAAAACCGGATCGCTGCGGTACAGTAAAGCTTGTGTCGACGAATTGACGGCCTTGACGTGATGCTTCTGGCGCGAAGGAGGTGGCACTTGCAGGCACTTCGTGAACTGCAGGTGAGCCTGGAGAAATAAGAGATTGTGTCCCCCCAACCTCGTTGCTGGGAGTCGTGTTTGGGTCAGCTGGCGCAGCATCCAAGGGGTGCAACAGGCCTCTGAACGTCTCCTTTGCAAGCTCGGCTATGCGTGCCCAGTATGAGTGTATTCGATTCACCGGCTGCCGCTTCGGTGAACGGGAGTGGGCGTTGACGATTGTAGTGGCGACATTCGAGGTGTTGTGCGGTGACACCACCCGTGGCTCACTCATCCTCGACGACGACCCCCGCAGGTACGGTGTCTCTCCACGGCCTCGTCGCACAGTTAACCGTGGCCTCTCGCGCATCGTTATCTTCGGTGCTGCTGGATGCTTGCTGCTGGTTTTGTTTTCCCTCTTAGTTCCGCTGAACTCACCTCCTCCTCCTGAGGGAAGTAAAGGGGGTGTCGGGAGGAGGAGGAGGAGAAGAAAAGGAAAAAGAACAGAGCCCAAGAAAAAAAGAAAAAAAACGATCCTGAGCCCCTCTCCACGACCGCCGGAGTCAAGATCGGGTCACACTCCTCACGACAGGCAAAACTACACACACACGCGCGCGCACGCATAACTCTTTCTGAGCCTTTCCACCCCCTCGGCAGACGTGCGAAACGAAGCAGCAAAGTGTGCTGTCGCGCCCCGAGAAAGACACATCTAAACATACTCTCTTCCCTTGCCGGCAGTCCTTTTTTTCTTCTTCTTTTTTTTGCCCCCTTTTCTGTACACCGTTTGTTTGTTGCTGCTTTATCATTCCTCCCTTGACTCTGTGTTTTTCTGTTTCTTGTTCTTTTTTCCCCCCTTCTTCACTTGCTCTTTTCCTTCATTTCAATCGCCTCGGGCAGCTGTCACGTCGAACTCCCCCCAGCACCCGCCCCACAGGCACGCTTCCACGTCAGTGGCATACATCTTTGCTTCTGCAGGGACTGCGGCGGCGGCGGCGGCAAACGAGAACTCGCACGGGTAGGGGGGGAGCAGGTGAGCCGAGGACTGCAAATGATAGGAAGGCGGCTCAGCATAAGAAAGAGTCCTCGAAACACAACGCCAATCTTGGTACAACCTCAGAGAGAGAGAGAGAGAGCGTGTACACAATACGGGCAAATACTACAACAACAAAGGGAAGAAAAAAAATAAGAAAAATAAAATTAGAAATAAGATTCATAAAATTCCGTTTACCGCTCTGTCCGTTTTGGTTTGTGCTGAAGGTTCTCACACGCAGGCAAAAAAGTGTGAAGGAGAATTTTAAAAAAGAAAACAGATAATATATAACGAACTCCAAATCTGCAACTGCAAGCAATCGCAAAGGCTCTAAAGTTTTTCCTTTCCTTCGTACACGCAAAGTTTTGTAATGGCGTTGGAGTGGTGTGCATATTTCGGCCCAACCAACTCATTTAACTCGCGCTGGATCTCTGCATTGGAGAGACCGCTGGTCATCATACGCTTATTGTAGAGCTCCACTGCCTTATTCAGCAGCGCGGCGCCCATTTGCTCCTCGAGAATGCCGCGTACAGACGACGCCGGTACAGCTTCTCCGTTGGAAAGTGTAATCACATCGGCCTGCGGGGTGCTTGTGGAGGGTCCGTCGCCAAACTCCTCCGGGTGCCCACCGAGGTTTGTGTTGCCAACAATGCCCTTCGTCTGCTGCACAATGGCTTTCTTTTGCTCAATGTAATCTCCATCGTCATCCACATCTGAGTGCCCCTCGACCTGCGGCTCCTGGGGCGCGGACTCAGGTGCTGTTGCATCCGTGGCCGCTTGCTTTGCAAGCATTGCCTTCATACTTTCCCTGTTCATTCCACGCAGCATAGCCATCTGTTCGCGTTCACTCATTTGGGGCGGCTTTGGAATCTCTTTCGGTCTATCTTGGATTGGTTTTGGTGCAGTTTTGGGGGGAGCCGGGCACTTTTTCTCGAATTCTGCTCGCTCCTTCTCCGCCTGCTTCTCAAGATCCACACTAAAGCTCCTCAGCGACTCTTGTACAAACGGACTCTCTAAAACTCGATTTATGCTAGGCCGCTGAACAGGAGTTACCTGCAACAGTGCCGCACAGAGCCCACGCATTTCTGCTGGAACTGTAGACGGAATGGGATCGTATTGGCCCACAAGAATTTTCTTCAAAAGTTCTTTTAGCGACCTGGCATTGAAGGGCCGTTGGAGTGTTAGCAACTCATAGAAAACAACACCAAGTGCCCACACATCGCTTTTGTTGTTATATGGCTTATTTTGGCACAGTTCTGGGGAAAAGTAGTACGGTGTGCCGCACACCGTCTTTGCACACGCCATAGTGTTCTGCAGGACCGTTGAAATTCCAAAGTCACCCAACTTGACAACATTTCTGGACGTCAAAAATATATTTGCCGTCTTCAAGTCACGGTGCAGGATATGGTTGTCGTGCAGATACTTTAGCGCCATGCATATTTGCAGGAACCAAAACATCGCCAACTTCGGCTCAAATGGTTTCACCGGGTCCTGCTTCTTCGCTTCCTTGATGCGGGAATTCAAGTCACCGCCGTCGGCGTACTCCATAATAATGAAGATGAGGGTCCCGTCCTCAAAGTGCTCATGGTAGCGGATGATGTTGGGGTGGTTCACGGCCGAGAGAATGCGGATCTCGTTCTGTACATCGCGCTTTTCTTTTACTGTCATCGACGCTGACTCAATCGCCTTCACGACGTAGCGTTTTCCGTCCGTTTTCGACCGCACTAGCACCGCCTCACCAAAGCTACCTTTTCCAATGGATTTCACCTTGCGGTATTTGCTTAGGAACACCTCCGAGGCCATCGCCTTGGACTCATCTGCCGCCTGCGCCATGGAAAATGAGAGTCTTCTGCCCGTAAATTTTTCGTGATTCAATTTCAGTTCTTGTTTTTTTTTATTGTGTTTTCCTTTTTCTTTTTTGTTCTGCTTTTCTGTTCTTCCTCTCCTCTTCTTTCGCTGGGAGAGGGGACTTCTGCTCCTTCCCCCTCAGTGTCTTGCCCTGGGTGCTGTTAACGGCGAGCAGTGGCGAGCCCCTGCCTTACTAGTACGCCTTTAGCCCTCTCTTGCGTTGCTTAAGCTGCGCCGCCGGGTTCCCGCCCGTGTTTCTGGAGCTCGGGTCTTGTCACGCCGCAAATGGTGCCGCCGCAGCTACGCGTCAGGTATTGTGCTTTTATTTGCCCTCTTTTTTTTCTTCGTCTGCCTTCCTCGCGGCGCCGGCGTGACACACGCAAGCGCACACGCGATGGAACCGAAAAGGGTGTGAAGGAGGGAAACAGTGTGCGAGTGTGTGTGGCAGTCAAAGAAGAAGCGGCACCGGGGTATTGGCCGCCAGTGGCAGTAGACGCCCGCAAATAAAAGCACCACGTTGCCAAGGACACCCAAGCCCATGAGAGAAAGAGAGAGATAAATATATAATACATATACATATGCAAACACGGTGAATTGAGATCAAAACGTAGAAAAAAAAAAGAAGCATTAACACACAGAGCATGTGAGCAAGCGGCGTAAATGTCATGGCACCAGTACAAAAATTTGATCCCATCCCTTTTCATTTCTTCTTTGACATGGACAAACGTTTCATATATATACATACATACATATGAAACGGTTCAGACAAGCAACATCTAGTCCGCGTATTACATTTTCGGTACAGTTTTTCCTTCCATTGTTGCGCTGTTCTTGTAAGTGTCTTTTTTATTTCTTTTCTTCTTTAATTGTTTTGCTGCACAACACACGGCATGAGACGCTACTCTGGACATCAAGGAGCACCCTAGGCTTCCGCGCCGTCCAGGCCTAGTAGAACCGACGAAGACAAGACTGCACGACCGACGCCTCAGGGAAGGAATTTGGCTTCCATGTTCCGCTTGTCCCCTTAGGAGGGCCGGGAATGTACTCTGGTTTTGGCCTTCGGTTCTTCTTTCCCTTATTTCGCTCCCTCTCCAGCGCGTCTGCGTCAATCCACGTGTTGGGAAACCCGGTAATGCAGCCGTCTTGGCCCGACTTGCTCCATGTAAAGATCATCGGCTTATCCTGCGTGAAAACTGCAACAGCCGCCTGAGGCTTCTCCCGCCTCTTATGCTTTGAGGGCTTTTCCTCCACGGGCTCGTAGTGATACACGCCGGACACGCCGGTACCAGGGAGCTCGTCTAGAAAGTCATGCGTCACACCTGGGGTTTTAAAGGGTGGGCCCATTGGTTTTGGTTGCGGAGCTTGCTTTTCCCGCTTTGCCCGCAACGCCTCCAATTTCTCAATCTCCTGTCTCCAGTTCTCATCGTACTTGGGATTGTCAAGGAGCGTCCCAGGAACACCGTAGGTTCCCTTCTTGGGTGGATTGGTCTTGATGTTGGGAAGGCCAGTCTTGGTTTTGTCAACCATCTCCGTCACGGGGGCCTTCTTCCGCCGGCGCTTCTTCTTGTCGTCTTCCCCTGGCATTATAAACTCATACGCTCGATCCTGGAAGCAGCCGGTGTAGCTGCCAGGGCCGTCACTCTGCTTTGGGTAAGACGGCAGGAGGAAGACCTTGTCGGAAACGTTCTTCTTCTTGGATTCCATCGCCTCGCGACGCCTGCGCGTTTCGGCGTCCTCAAAGGCGCCCAAGTCCTTGTTGCCGTTCTGCTCCGGCGAGGCCAGCGTCAGGTACTTCTTGTCGAAGTACACCTCTGGGTTTTGCCCGGTGGCCCCGCGGCCAATGCTCAGGCCCTTGCCGAGGTAGCGCGAGGGGATGGTGTCCATCTTGTTGTAGGGGTCCGTCTTCTTCGGGTCCTCGTCCGTCGAGATGAGCGGCGGGTCGGAGAAGAGGCCGCCATAGACGCTCAAATGCGTCATTGTGGAGCCGCGCTTCCTCTCCCTGTTCGCACTGCCTCTCTACTCCGCCCTCCCCCCACGCTCACCCCCAGCAAAAGACGCAGCGGTGTGTTCTCCCTCGGCGCTCCCGCGTCGGCAGCGGTGTTGGGCAACAAAAAGAATAATGTTTCCGGCGCCGCCTCCTTTCCAGTAGACACTCCAGCTGGAAGAACAACGACAAGAAGAAGGCGCACTTGCACAGAGAAGAGGCTCAGCAGTAAGAAAAAAAAAACAGTCATGAAGCAGAAAGGCAGACAAGCTGAGAAATGGAGTCGCACTCACCTCCGGATGGAATATCATCGTGTACAGGGGAGCACCAACATGAACCACCAGTTACAACGCCGTCTCTGTCCTTTCTTTTTCCCAATTCATGCACGCATGTGGCGTTTTTCGTGTTGCTGCGGTTTGATTGATTCCCCCCCTTTTTTTTCTTTTTTTTTTTTACTTTCCTTTTCCTTTCGCTCGCCGGCGCAAGAGGACCACCTTGCTTAGCGGCAGAGATGACAATTCGCCCTCCTTATTCGCTCTCCCCGTGGGCGACGGGAGGCGGAAGCCATTTTTATCCCGCACAAAGGGTGTCCCGTCGGCGAGTTCCTTGCTCTCGCCGTTTACTGACTGCCGGGGTGCGCGCCGTCCCTTCCCTCGCAGTCACTCCCCATCACGGTGTCATGTGAGGCGCCCCGGAGATCCATCACCGGCCCCGTGGAGGCCGCTTCCGCCGCGCCTTCAAGCCGTGTGTGCCTTTACCCTCCCTTCTCCATTATTCGTGTGTGTGTGTGTCTTTTTTTTTCTGCGTGTTTGCGTCCTCGTCGCTCTGAGGTGCCGCGCGCACCTCGAACGCCTCGTCGCCGCCACCGCCTCACGCCGAGGCATCCGCCGCCTCCACCTTCCCTTCACGCGCCTCTTCTTCCCCGGCGGTCCCCGCCCACGCCACATCGTCCTCCTCGAGGTTCATGCCGCCAAGTATCGCGGCCGAGGCATTTTCAGGCGGGTCGATTGCCCCCACCGCGCCCCCGGCAGCGTCCTCGGTGGGGGGCGGGACGGCGGAGCCGAACTCCGCACGGTACGCCTCGAGTTGCGTGCGCATCGCCTCGTCAAGAATTGTCGGCTGGTCGAGCTGCGAGCGTCGAAAGTCCTCCAGAATCTCACGTGCCACCTGAAGCTCCTGCTCCTGGCGCTGCCGCTGCTCAGCCTGGCGGTGCTCAGCCTCCTTCTGCTTCTCCGTTTGGAACTCGTCGTACACGCGCTGCCACAGCTTCGACTGCCGCGCGTACTCCGCGGACTCGCGCTGACCCACCACAATGAGGCGGCTGATGCTGCGATCATTCAAGTCCAGGCAGTAGGCACAGACGCTCTTGAGAAACGTCTTGGCAACCGCCATTGCCTGGGAGCGTGGTTCTTGCTGGATAAACGCAAAGGCGATGGAAAGACCCGTGGCGAGCGACTGGCGGAGATCCCGGGCCTTCTCTGGCGTGATCGCCTCCTTCCGCGCAATCGCATAGACAAACGCGGCGCAGTATAAGAGGGCAAGGTTATACTGCAAAAGCGGCAGGTTTGGATTCTCCTCCACAACCGTACTGAGCACGGCAACGGCCTCCTCATAGCGACTTTCACACGCCAAGCAAAAGGCCAAGGAAGACGTCTGCAACGGTGTTCGCTTCGGGTCACGCTCAAGGTAGTCTATCGCCTGCTTGAAGCTGTCACTCAGCGTCTTCACGTTCGCCATGTGCGCCTCATGGTGCCGGCGTACGTAGTCACAGTTGGGACGCACTTCCCCAACGCGATCTAGGAGGCACTGGCAACGATCGTAGTCCGCCTCTAAACCAAGGCAACAGGCAAGGCCGTGCGCCGCCAACACGTTGCCGTTATCACGGCGCAGAACAAATGCAAAACGATCCTTGGCACTTGCTAAGAAACGACGATTGTCCTTCCCGTGTTGCTGGCTGCACCAAAGAAATACCGCCCCAAAGGCGAGGGCAACTGGAATAGGTCGACCTCTCGCAGAACGGAGCGCCGCCATTGCTGCAGTGGCGCGGGAGTGCGTAAAAAATAGCTCAGCAATAGACGCCAACGAGGTGGGGTCCTCCGGTACAACCCGCTGCAACAACACAAGCCAGGCAACGGCTTGTCTCACAAATCCATCCGCCTTTGCAAGCACGTGAAGACGAATGTACGGGGGTTGAAAGTAGCCGTGCTGCTTCACAAGGAATATATAGAGCTGTCGAGCCCTCGTGCGATCTGTTTCCTCTAACAGCAGTGCCAAGTTAAACACCAAAGGGACGTAGGCTACGGGCAGGTTGGGTTGACTTAAAAAGTCGGCCCCGAGTTCCCGATCGAGGATTCTCTGTAAGGCATCGGTGTCCCCACCCAGGGAAGCTATATTCGCAAGCAGCTGCATGGACACGGGTTCCCCCACTTCTTTTTGAATACGAGCGAGATGCGACATGAGCTTTTTTGTCTCATCTTTATCTAAACGGGCACACCAGGAGGCAATGGACCACGAGCGAATGTCGCCAGGTGCCACAAGCTCCGTGAGGCGCCCACTATACTCCAACGCCTTCTCATGTAGGCCATGACGGGAGGCGTAAGCTGCCAGCAGCTGCAGCACCTCCTTTTGGTTGGGCTTCTCCCTGTTAAGGCGAAGTAGCAACTGCTCCGCCTCGGTTTCCCTTCCCGAGAGCAGTAAAGCCCGGGCGTAGTGAATCCGTGCGGCCAGCAGATTGGGGAGGACCTGCATGGCAGACTCAAGCAGCAGGCGGGCGTTGGAGAGGTCACCGAGAGCAAGACACAATCGCCCCTCCTGATAATCCGCAGTGGCACTTTCCTCAACGTTGGCCACCCGACGCACCTCCGCCAGCAGGCGGCGGACGGAGTTGGCAGACGCCTTCACCCGCTTCTGCGTCACGGCGCGGAAGTACACGAGGTCCGCCACCTTAAGCAGCACCATGGCATTCCCTGGCAGCGCGTGCCGTAGACGCTGCGCCACCTCAATCACCTTTGGAATTTGGCAGCGGTCTAGAAACACCACAAGAAGCGCCAGTAGGGCCAACTCGTCGTCCTTGTTCACCTCCAGGGCCCGTTCCAGACACCTTTGGGCGTAGTCCAGATGATTCAGGTGATACGCGCAGAGCCCCATCCCCACCCGCGCAATCGGGGGGCAGGCGCTGCCAAGTGTCTCCAAAACGGCGCGATAGTGGGAGAAGGACTTCTTGTAGCGCTTCATGTGGTAACTCACGGCGGCAAGTCCAAGCCTCGCCAACACAAAGTGGCAATCGGCGCGGAACGCCTCCTCAAACTTCACCCGTGCAGTCTGGAGGTTTGTGCCGCTTGCCATCGCCGCAAGTCCTTCCAGGTAGAGCACAACAGGACGGTGCAGCGAGGAGGACGCGGTGTCGCTCATGATGCTTGCCACCGTCCGCTCGCCCGCCATCGCCGCGATGGAAGCACGCACGCAACGGATGGCGAAAAGGTCGTGCAGCTCCTCCCGGTCGCGTGCCTCCGAAGTGTCAACGCCGTCAAGGATTGACTTGGCACGCTCAATTTCACCCCGAGAAAAGGCTTCATGGGCGTCTTCCAACGTTGTCTGCGTCTGCTGGGAATACGCGAGCATGACGTATTAACCAGTGTATGTGTCTCTCTGTGTGTGTGTGTGCGTCTGTGTGTGTATATGGGGTGTGTGTGGGTGTGGGTGTGTAGTAAACAGACCGCCTTCACTTATCTTTGCTAGCCTCGCGCACACCCTCTCCGCGGATCGCTTCCACCTCCATGAGGGAGGGACAGGGGATCGAGTCAACCGCCGCGACGAAAGCGAGGAGAGTTAAAAGAGAGACAGACGCACAACTACAATCGTCCCTACACACCCCTCTCCCGCAGAAACATGCGAACCTGCACATGTGCAGAAAAGACTCCCATTCCCTCTCCATCACCCACACACGCTCCCTCAAGCTCTCTCCATTTCCATCTCTGTGATCCAAAAGCCTTCAAGAGGTCTCATAGCATGCAAACGAAGAAGTCCCCCCATCCACTCAGAGCCGTAATTGGAAGGAAAAGCCAAAGTACGTCACACTTCAAGCAACGAAGAAAACGAACGAGCAAAGGACAAGTAACCCCGCATGCTGGTGAGAGGAAGAGGAAGATGAAGAATAACAAAGTTC